TGGGGTTTAGTCCACTTCTGTATCCTTCCCCTCAAGGCTCAGGGGTCCAGGATTATCTTCTGTGTCTGTGTTAATTGGTTTCCTTTTTCTTTGTTGAAGAGGGTCTGTGCAGTCTTTCTGCCTAGTCCACCATCTTGCTGGAACTACCTATCCTTTTACTTTCAACCTATTTATGTATGTAGCTCTAAGATACATCTCTTGGAGACAGTTTGTAAATGGATCATGTTTTTTTAATCCATTTTGCGTCTCTCTGCTCTTTGGAGAGTCTGATCCATATATACCAAAAAAAAAAAAAAAAAACAAACTCACTACCTTATATAAGTTAGTTAAAGATTTGGAAGCACTTACTTTAGTCATTTTGCTATTTTTTTTGTGTGTTTTATACTTTATCTGTTTTCCATTTTTTCCAAGACTGCCATCATTTGTATTTTGTTTGCTTTTTGTAGTAAACTATTTTGATTCCCCTTTCCTTTCCTTTTGTGGATATTTGGTAGATATTTTCTTTGTGGTCACTGTGATGATTATATGTAACATCTTAAATTTTTAACAAAACCTAACCCATTGCCATTGGGTCTGTTCTGACTAATGGCAACCCAATGTGTTACAGATTAGAACTGAGCTCCATAGGGATTTCTTGGCTGTAATCTTTATGGGAGCAGATTGACAAGTCTTTCTTCCATAGTGCTGCTTGGTGGGAGTGAACCACCAACCTTTCAGTTCAAACTTCCAGCCTTTTTGGTATGCAAACATCTTGTGCCACCTGCTGACCTTTAAATTTATAACAGCTAGTAGTTTTGGTGGAGTAGCGCCTAAGGCATTTGACTGCTAACCAGAAGGCTGGTGGTTCAAACCCACCAGCCAGTCCTCAGAAGGTCAATCTACTTCCATAGAGATAATTCCTTGGAAACTCAAGGAGGGTCACTCTGAGTTGGAATTGATGGTTTTTTTGGTTTCGGAGCTCTGGTGGTGTATTGCCTAAAGCATTTGACTGCAAACCAGAAGGTTGGTGTTTCAAACCCACCAGCCACTCCATGGAAGGAAGACTGGGCGATCTACTTCTCTAAAGCTTTACTGCTTTGGAAAACCAAGGGGGGTCGCTATGAATCAGAATTGATTCATTGGGAGTGAGTTTGATATTTTTAGTTTAAATTGATACCAGCTTAACTCAGCAATATACAAAAATTATTCCCGCACTGTTGCTTCTCCTCCTCTTCCTTTACATAGTCCACAAATACCAAACTTACTGCCATTGAGTCTGGTCTGACTCATATTGAGCCCCACTGGGTTTCCAAGGCTGTAAATCTTTATGAAAGCAGACTGCCTCATTTTTGCTCCATGGAGTGAGTAGCTGGTAAGTTTGAATCACTGATATTTTGGTTAGGAGCCAAATGCCTACAGTACCAGGGCTTCTTCCTTTATATACTAATGATCACAAATTACATTTTATAGCTGTATAAATTTTATATAAAATTACATATTATATAAAATGTCAACTAGATGGCAATTTTTTTTTTTTAAATCAGTTTTTCCAGATAAAGAATTCTTGATGGATAGTTTTCCTCTACTACTTTAAATATGTCATTCCATTACATTCTGATCTCCAAGGTTTCTTGGAAGAAATTGGAAGTTAATTTTATTGAATCCATTTTATTGTGACAATTTGCTTCTCTGTTCATTTTATTGTAATAGTTTGCTGCTATCAGGATTCTCTATCTTTGGTTTTCAAGTTTGATGATAGTGTGTCTTGGTGTGAATCTGTTTGGGGTTTGTTGAGCCTTTTGGAGTTGTAGATTCATGTTCATGAAATTTAGAAAGTTTTTTGCTGTTATTTCTTTCCCTTTTTCTTACTCTTTTCCTTCTGGTATTCCCATGATGTTTATGTTAGTTCACTAGATTGTATCCCACAGTACCATGAAGCTTTCCTCTGCTTTCTTGGCCTTTTTCTTCTCAGTCTCAGTTATTTTGGTTATTTAATTCTCTAGTGTACTGATTTGTTTTTCTGCCAAATCATATCTGCTGTTGAGCCCTTTCCTTGAATTTTTCATTTCATTTACTGTAATTTTCAGCTCTAGCACTTCTCAGAAGGAAGGTTGGGCAGTCTACTTCCGTAGTGATACTGCCTTGGAAACCCAAGAAAGGGTAGCTATGAATTGGGGCCCAAGGAAGGGTAGCTATGAGTCGGGGCTGACTTGATGGGACATAATAACAAGTATTTCTGTTTGTTTTTCTTTATGACATCTATTTATTATTCTTGTATCATTTTCCTGATTTCCTTTAGTTCATTTCCTTGTTTTCCTTGAATTGTTTGAGCATGTTTAATATTTTTGTATTTTATTCTTCCAATCTGTTCATTATCTAGGCTTTCATAGAAACGATGTCTATCCTTTCATCTTGTTCTTTTAAATGGGCCATCATATCCAGTCTCTTAGTATGCCTTGTTGTTTTTGTCGAATCTAGAACATTGAAATGTTAGAATGTGTTAGCTTTCTCAATTTCCCTGCTCTATGGTTCTCTTGAAGTGGATATTGTTTATCTGTGTGTGTCTGTGTATACACACATACATATACATACATATATATGTATGTATATATGTTACTATAAATGAAATTGCTATTACAAACATACAAATGTATGTTAACAAAAACCTGTCGCCATTGAGTTTGATCCTGACTCATGACAGTCCCACATGGTTCAGAGTAGAATTGTACTTCATAGTGTTTTAATGGCTGTTATCTTATGGAAAAGAAGCTCTGGTGGTGTAAACAGTTAAACACTTGGCTGCTAACTGAAAGGTTGCCAGTTTGAACCCACCCAGTGGCTCCATGGGAGAAAGACCTTGTGATCTGCTTCTGTAAAAATTATAGCCACGAAAACCCCTTGGGCCAGTTCTCCTCTCACATGAGCTTGCTTTGAGTTGAGATTGGCTCGTTGGCATCTAACAATAGCAACATTCTTATGGAAGTAGATTGCCAGGCCTTTCTTCTGCAGCATCTCTTGTGGATTTGAACTACCAATCTTTCAGTGCAAACTGTGTATGTCACCCAGGGATCTCACAAATACTTGTAAGTGAAATAAATAGAAATAAAATAAAATTTTTATCTTACTATTTGAATTTTGTGGCCAAAGGATTTAGTTCATACATTCTAGTACAGTAATTGATGAAATAAAAATTCAAAAATGGTATCAACTGTTGTAAATTCTTGTTGCAGTTATTTCTTGCTAAGATTTTATTTACTATTCATTTGGCAGAGACAACATATAATTAAATATTTAAGATCATGGTTTTGGAGGCTTAGACACTTGTGATTACATCCTGAATCTATCACTTATGAGAAGCATGGCCATGAGAAGTTATTTAAGCTCTCAGTTTTATCGTCTATAAAATGGGAGAAAATTATAACACTAACATCACCTACTTTGTATACTAAATACATTGCCTAGTGCAAAATTATTAAGTGCTTTTAGACATTTTTTTAGCCTTATATAATACAATCATTTGGAAATATGTGTCACTAAATTTATGTATTTTGTAATTTATAATTTTAGAGATTAATTTCTAAAATTATCAGTGGTCTCCTACCATTCAATTGTAATTTCTTAAAAGTGTTAAAAAAAAAAAAGGAAGCCTGTTTTGTAATCTATTTACTAAAGGCAGATAAATTATGGGTTGGCTTTATTTTGATATAAGTTAAATAACAAAATATTGGTCTAATTTGTAGCTCTTGAAGAAATGTTGACACCTGAAGAAAAAGCTAAACTCTATGAAGCAATTGGTTATAGTGAAACAGCAGTTGATCCAACTTTGCCCAAAACAGTAAGATGTTTTCTTATCTTATACCTTGAATTTAATGTTAGATATACCTATCTTTAATCTTTAGAGAAGTATAATTGTTAATGATTTCTTCTTTGATCTTTCTTTTCATTTCTAGGTACTGTGTTTGTTTTTGTTTTTATGATAGTGATAAAAATTGCCACCTACTTTTTGGTGTTACGTAGTAATTTAATAGGAAAGGTTTGTTTTAAAAATATTTTGTGGTTTTCAAAATCAGTAAACTATATAAATAGCATTTATTGTGTTTATATGTATATGTTTTTCATTTTATTCTTTTGAATATACTCTAGTTTGAAGCCATGAAGTTTTTTGTTCACTTGAAAAGTATGTCTGTTGTTCTAAGAGAAAGTCATGAAAAACCTGAGCTATTAGAGATTTTAATTGAAGAATTTAGTACTTTAATTATACAAAGACCAGGAGCACAAGCAATAAAGTAAGTGAATTGATTTTCCTTTATGCTGTCTTAAGAAAAAGTTTCAATATGATGTTGAATGTTGTTGTTGTTGTTACGTGCCATTGAGTTGGTCCCGACTCACAGCGACCCTTCCTTGGGTTGCCAAGGCAGTATCACTACGGAAGTAGATTGCCCAACCTTCCTTCCAAGGAGTGGCTGGTGGGTTTGAACTGCCAGCCTTCTGGTTAGCAGTCAAGTGCCTTAGGCACTATGCTATCAGAGCTCCCATAATGTTGAAAGTCAGGTCATAATCATATAATCTTGAGTAAAGAGTACTGTGGTTTAAGAGAATTCTTTTGTAATTTAAGGAACGTTACTTTAGAGTAATAAAATTTTCTGGAACTAGACGTTGGTACTGATTGCACAATCTCATGAATACACTAAAAGCCAATTAATTATGTATTACTTTAAATGAGTGTACTATATGGTGTGTAAATTATATCTCAATAATGTTATTTTAAAAAATGAAGGTAAAGTCAAGACAATCCTAAATAAACCAAATTGTTAATGTTGTTTCTTTTTGTATGATGTGCTTGCTAACAATCTTTGTATTATTTAGTCTTTTGTTTCCTCAGCATACAATTCTTTATTTAATATATATTATCTTAATAATTCTAAACAAAACATATCTAAAAAGCCACCCCGTGCCCTTTAGTAGTCACCCCATACCCATTAGTGGCAGCCACTAATCTACCTTCTATCTCTATGAATTTGCCTGTTCTGGATTATTCTTGTGAAGGGAATCATATAATATATGTGGCCTCTGTATCTGACTTAGTTCAATAGTCATAATGCTTTCAAAGGTCATTTTGTAGCATGTAGCCATACTTCATTTCTTTTATTGCCAAATAATACTCAGTTGTATGGATATACCACACTTTGTTGTATCCATTCTTACATTGATGGATATTTAAGTTTGTTCCAATTTTTGGCTGTTATGAAATATTCATATACTAGATTTTTTGTGGACATATGCTTTAATTTCTCTGGAGTTTAAACAATAGAATGCAATTTCTGGGTTATTTGGTAATTCTTTGTTTAACATTTTGAGGAACTGCCAGACTTTTCCAAAATGAGTGCACAATTTTACATTCCTACCAGTAGTTTGTGAGGGTTCCAGTTGGTCCATATCCTGAACAACATTTGTTTTCACCTGTCTTTGTTATTGTAGCCATCATTGAGTGTGTAAAGTGATACCTCATTGTGATGTTGATTTGCATTTTCTTAATGGTTAATGATATCAAGCATCTCTTCATGTGCTTACTAGCTATTTTTGTGCTTTCTTTGGAGAAATGTCTTTTCAGATCCTTGCCTAGCTTCTCATTGGATTATCATCCTTTTTACTTTTGAGTTGTAAGTGTTCTTTCTATATTCTACATAAAAGTCTATTTTCAGATGCATGATATGCAGACATTTTCTCCCATTCAATGAGTTTTTATTTCTTGCTAGTATCCTTTGAACCACAGATGTCTTTTTTTTTTTTTTAATATTTATTGTGATTTGGGTGAAAGTTTACAGAGCAAATTCACTTTCCATATAGCAGCTCACATACACTTTGTCTCATGACATTGACAGCAATTTCACAGAATGCAACAGCATCTCTCCCACCTCCTCCTCATAGTTACCTCTTCTTTGTGTCCTTCCCTCCCATGCACTCATGCCCCCCAATGTCTCCCTGGGCACACACCACCCTTCTCTTCTCCCATGATTGATCTCTCCAAGGATCTATTAGATACCTAATGTAAATGTTCAGCTCATATGCCTATCTTTTATTTGGCTGGAAGCCACAGGAGTGAGTTCAATTCCAGACTTGAAGCACAGCTAGGGGCCATAATCTCGGTGGCTCCACCAGGCTCTATCAGTATGATGCCAGCAAACCTGGCACCCCCCCTTTTTTATGGTTTTGAGTTTTGTTCCACATTGTTCTCTCCCTAGTCTATACAGGATCTCCTACATGTATCCCCCTCCAAGTGGTTGACAGTGGTAGCCTGGCACCATCTAGTTCTTCTGGTCTCATAGTCATATAGGCTGAGGACTGCATGATGTACCAGTCCCTTGGACTAATTGTTTCCATGCATCTTTGGTTTCCTTCATTCTTCCTTCTTTGTAAGAGGAGAGACCCATCATTGCATCTAGATGACTGCCTGCAAGTTTTTAAGATCCCAGTCACTACCTGCCAAAGTAGGATGTGGAACAATGTTTTTGTGTAGTATGTTATGCCAATTGAGCTTGCTGTCCCCTGCAACTATGATCCTGAGCCCACAGGTCCAACTACTCACTCCTTTTGGATAGTTGGCTGTGGCCAAGAGGTGACTACAACCTTGTCCCTTGTCGACTGTACTATATATACCTGGGGATTCTTACAGAATGTACAAATACACTGAAGCACAGATGTTTTTGATGAAATCCACTTTATCTAATTTTTCTTTTATTGCATGTGCGTTTGGTCATATGCAGGCTGTGCCTAATTTAAGGTCACAAAGATTCACTTGAATATTTCTTCTAACAGATTTATAGTTTTAGCTCTTACATGTAGATTTGAATTGAATGTTATGTATAGTGTGATGTGGGGGGGTACAACCTCATTCTTTTGAAAGAAGTTCTACAATTGTCTTAGTACCATTTGTTGAAAATATATTCCTTCCCTTTCAGTGATCTTGGAACCCTTGTCAGTAATCAGTTGACCATGCATGTAAGGATTTGTTTCTGGACTGTTCTGTTAAGTTGATATATATTTCTATTTCTTCCCCATTGAATAATCTTGGACCCTTGTCAATAATCACTTTAGCATAAATATAAGGATTTATTTCTGAACTATTAACATTATTCCCTTGATCTATATGTCTGTCATTATGGCATTTCCATATGGTCTTGATTACTGTAGATTTGTAAAAAGATTTTAAATTGAAAGGACATCCAGTTTTTTTTTTTCTTTATTAAGATTGTTTTAGCTGTTCTGTGTTACTTGAATTTCTGTGTAAACTTTAGAACCAGTTTGTCCATTTCTGCAAAAAACTCAAGTAGGTCTTTGATAAGGATTATATTGAATCTGTAGATCAATTCCAAGGTTACTGCCATCTTGACAATATTAGTTCTTGTGATACATGATGTTGGAGTGTTTCTACTTATTTAGAACTTTAATTTTTTCAACAGAGTTTTGAAATTTTCAAAATGTAAATCTTTCATGATTTTTGTTAAATTTGAGGAGCTCTGGTGGCACAGTTGTTAAGCATACCAAAAGGTTGGCAGTCCGAACCCACCAGGCACTCTGCAGGAGACTGTGACAGTCTGTTTCTGTAAAGATCGCAGCCATGGAAACCCTGTGGGGCAGTTCCACTCTGTCCTACAGCATTATTATGAGTTGGAATTGACACGATGGCAGTGGGTTTGGTTTTTAATGGGTTTTGTTAAATTATTCTTAGATACTGTTTTTGATGCTGTTGTAAATGCAGTTGTTTTCTTAATTTTATTTATGGATTGTTCATTGAAAATGTATAGAAATAGAATTGATTTTTTATATTGATCTTTACCCTGAAATCTTGCTGAGCTTGTTTATTAGTATTGTAGTATTGTCCCAATACTACAAATGGATACCTTAGAATTTCTGTATGTAATGACCATGTCATCTGCAGATAGACTTAGTTTTACTTCTTTCTTTCCAACATCAATTCCTTTTATTTCATTTTTCCCCTAATTAACCTGGGAAGAATCTCAAGTACAAAGTTGGATAGAAGTGACAAGAGAAGTGACAAGATTCTTGTCATGTTTTGGTCTTAAGAGTGAAATGTCCAGCCTTTCATTATTTAAGTATGATGTTAGCTCGGGATTTTTTTTTTTTTTTTTATAGGTGCCTTTTATCAAATTGAAGAAGTTCCCTTCTACATGTAGTTAGCTAAGTGATTTTATCATTAGCTTAGTGTACTAGTGCTGATGAAACAAAAATACCACAAAAGGACAGGAATTCATTGTTTCAGTTTTAGAGTCTAGGAGTCCAAATTCAGAGTTTTGGCTCTATTTGCTCTAAGAGAAGATCATTTTTGTCTCTTCAGCTTCCAGTAGCCCTGAGCGTATCTTGATGTTCTTTGGCTTGTAGATGAGGCCCTTACATGGTATTTTGCACGTGTATGAGACTCTCCATGTCTGTTTTCCTATTTCATAAGACTCTACTCAGAAGGAATTAAGTTTAGGATCCACCAAACTTCTGTAAAGCTTTATTAACATAACAAAAGAAAAACCCTTTCTCCAAACAGGGTCATATTTGTAGGTTATAGGCAGTAGGACTTGGATATATATTTTCTGGGTACACAGTTCACAACAATCATAAAGCGTGGTTTTATTTTGTCAAATTTATTTTCTGTGTCTATTGAGATCATTAGGTGTGTTTTGTCCTTTTTTCTATTGATTTATAGTATTTTGGGAGCTCTGGTAGTATAGTGCCTAAAGGCACTTGTCTGCTAACCAGAAGGCTGGTGGTTCAAACCCACCAGCCACTCCTCAGAAGGAAGACGAGGCAATCTACTTCCGTAGTGATACTGCCTCGGAAACTCAAGGAGGGGTCGCTATGAGTCGGGTCCGACTCGACAATATGTAACAACAACAACCACCACCTTAATTCATTTTGATATTAAAACAGCCTTGTATTTTTGAGATTAATCCTACTAATTTATGTTGTACAGTCTTTCAAATATACTGTTGGATTAGTATTTTGTTGGAGACTTTGCATTTATAAGGGATATTGACGTTTAGTTTTCTTTTTTATATAGTGTCTAAGTGTTGCTTTGGTATCTGGGTAGTGGCCTTGTAGAATGAATTAGAAAGTATTCCTCTTCTTCAGCTTCTTGGGAGAGTTCAAGGAGGACTGGTATTCTTCTTGAAATGTTTTGTATAATTCACTAATGAAGCCATTTGGTCCTGGACTTTTCTTTGTTGGGAAGTTGTTGATTACTCATTCAATTTCTGTACATGTTATAGGTCTATTC